AAAAAAAAAAAAACTTTTTACTTTTTTTCATTGCAAATAAATATTTCTAAACTGCATCATGGCATGTTTTAAATTAAAATTTTGTTTTAAAACTCTCAGTTAAGCTTTTTGCATTTAGGAAGCTCCTATCAGCAGGAAGACTAACTCTTTTTAAGATTGATCAATTTACCGTGCAGGAGTTAGGAGTATCATATCTCCAGCCCACACCTGAGTTTCTGCCTGTGTAATGAACATTTTCACTTAGATGACCTCCAAAGCTCCTCAGTCAAAATGTGACCAAATCTGCGTTCATTCCTATCTCCCTGAAATCTACCCACTCCTCTTCCTCCTCTATTTTCTTTTCTTTCCTTTTTTTATTTTTTTAAGTAAGCTTACACATAACATGGGGCTTGAACTCATAACCCTGAGATCAAGAGTTGCATGCTCTACCAACTGAACCAGCCAGGTGCCCCCCTCCTCCTCTATTTTCTACTTAAGTCTTTATTATCTGAGTTCGTGAAGCGTTCCATATTTTTAAATGGATTGGTTTAAAAAAAAAGAAAACTCCAAAATACGGGTATTTTTAAATTTTTCCCTCTCCTTCCAAACACAATCAGTCACCAATTTCTAAGCAAGACTGTTTTCTTAATATCCACCATTATCTGTTCAATTATCTTACTATTTTAGGTTTTTAGAGTTTAATGAGATTATTCTACTTCACTTAGATGCCTGCGTAATGTCATAGTGGTCTTCCTCTCATTTGACCCTTTTTTTGTTCCTTTTCCACACTAAGGTCAAAGTGGTCTTTTTAAAATGTACACCTAAATATATTACACCCCCACCTTTTCCCTCAATAGAAATTCCAAATTCCTGGTTGGCATTAGGACTTTATTGCAGTTGACAAAAATAAAAATTTAAGACTTTAAGCAAAAGAAGAATATTATTAGCCTTCAAAACTAAGAAGTCTAACATAGAGCTACTTCCACATGGCTAGTCCCAGAGCGTGGATATCTTCAGGGCTTTCTCTAGGTCATTTTGGCTCTTCTTTTCATGTTTATTCTCTGTGTCTGCAGACAGTTTGCTCCATACCTCCTGAGAGAATGCAATGTCAAGGCAGTGTCAAGTTACTTTATCTGTTCACTCTAACCCAAAGGTATAGTCAACAAGAAAAGTCCTAAGAAGGGTTCTGATTAACTCAGCTTGAATCATGAACTCAGTCTTGGGGTATGGTGGTATAGGATCATCACCCAAACCATACAGAACTGGAAAGAAGTGCTTTCTTAAAAAATTGAATGCTAGGCACACTGCATTTCACATCAGTCTACTATATCTGTCGCCCTTCCTTGCTTACCACTCACTTCCTTGTGCTGTAATGAAAACTATAAACCCATAGATCCAAGAAACATAATGAACCCAGAGCAGGACAGATAAAAAGTCACACCAAAGCACATCATAAATTCTCAGCAAATAAGTAGAAGGGAACTTCCTCAGCCTGATAAAAGACATTTATGAAAAATGTACAGCTAAAATCACATCTAATGGTAGAAGACTAAACACTCTCCTTAAAGTTGGAAACAAAATACGGATGTTTCTTTTCAAAATTGTGTTGGAGGTTCTGATCATTGTGATTTGGCAAACAAAAGAAATTTAAGACATACAAGTTAGAAAAGCAGAAGTAAATGTGAGCTCATCCATGGGAAATTACCTATGCAGAAAATCCTATAGAATATACAGAAAAGAGCACTACTAAGTAAGAAAAATTGCTAGAACTAATGATAGTTTAGCAAGATCACAGGATGCAAGGTCAACCTACAAAATCAATTGCATTTCTATATTTTTTAGCAACAATCAAAAATGTTAAAATACTCCTTTAAAATAGTATTTAAAAAGCCATAAAATAAGAGGGATG